TAATTTTAAACAAAGTTCTACATCTTAATTTCTAACTTTACCAACATCTATTACTTTCTATAGATTCATTAGTTACAGCTTACAATCAAAAGCATAATTTTTACTATAACTGGTCCTACATATAATTGATCAAACAATAAAAACAAGAACATAAAAGCACCCTAAAGTTTCCTAGTTAAGAACAAAGCAGTAATTCTCTCATGCTAACAATTTCTCAAAACTTCTAATCAAATTCCTACCTCTGTTCCCAAGCTCTCACTGCCCTTGACTATCTCCTAAGCTGCTTTCTAAAAGCTTTAATGTCCTTGACTGAAACCACCTGGAATGTTTCTTACAATTTTAAGCTTGAATTGCTAAAACTTAGCTAGTGTGGTTATTTCTAATGTTAAAACTTATTGTTAATGTAAAACACAATTTTTATAACTACATAAGATTGAATATGGTGTGAAAGTTAATGTTAATGTGAAAGGCAACTATTATAATGTGAGGTTTGTTTAAAATATCTAATAATTATGCAAGATTTTCTAAAACTTCTTATAGGGAAACCAGAAATAAACTGTTTTTCCAAGGGAAAGCTAGAAACCGCGGGTCCCCTGCATGAATCATCCCTTGTAGCTCTGCTAACCAAGGGGGGCATTCATTGTCGCACTGCTAAACAATGAACTTTTCATGCATAAGGCTTCTCGCAGTTCTGCTCCTTGGCAGGATGGTGTCCGCCATTCACAGGATGGCATCCGCCAGAGTCTTATCCCCATTTCCTTTCACCAGCCCGGTCCCAACAAATTGGAAATCATTCAGTGGAGATTCTACCTACCCCTGCCCTGTCTGGAACTAGGCTCCCTCTTGAAAGCTTGTAAGCCAATCACAACTTGCCTTTATAGCTGCCCCCCCACCCCATTTTGGGTATCCAATGTTTACGTTGCCCATCCCTGTCAACCCTGTGTAGTGAGGGGAGTGATCCTTGCTGTAAAGATTTGTTCACTTTTTTCAGCTACTACATCCATAAGTCCACCACTCATCTGTCAGTTTGTCATACTATGGTCTGTGATTCTGAAAGCTATGCCACCAGTATATTAATTACCATCAGGGTCACCCATGGTGGACAGGTTTCAGATGAGCTTCCAAACGAAGACAGACTAGGAAGAAGGAGTGATGAACTCCTTCCAAATATTTAGTCACTGAAAACCTTATGAATAACATTAAACACTAAAGACTGAAGACCAAAAGAGTTGTGGGATGACATCAAGAACATCATATATGAAGAAAGCAAAAAGTCACTAAGAAGAAAAGAAAAAGG